GGGGGGGGGGGGGGGGGGGGGGGGTGCCGTCATCCTTTTTTTTTATCCGCACTTTTTTTTCTTGCTCCTCCTTTCTGCCCTCTTTTTTTTTTTCCCAGAAGGCTGCTAATTCGAGAATCTCAAACCAGGTGTATTTTGTTCTGGTGTCCCGTTTCCGAGGGAAGAACACAAGTACCGCAACCTGCTTCATACCTACTCAGGCGGCTTGTTGACTACAATTTTTGCTTTCGTCCACTCCCTGCCATCACAGACGCCCAATCCATGTGGACCCTTCAATTTTGTTTTCCTTGTTTTTTGTTTTTGGGGACATCAAATGGCTGTTTTTTTCCGAGCATTTCCACCAATTAGTCGCACTTCCAGACACCGGCACCGAGACTATGAGTCCCTTGCAGTATCAGCGAGGGCACGACGTCAAAAACACCCGACTTTTTTTCGGGTGACGATGTCGCCCCCATCATTTGCACAGAAAAATAGCATCACTTGCACAAAAACAAGAATCGACACCGGGCGCGAAACTTGAAACGCCGCCCTTCCTTCTCCAGTTCATTTCTCTGCCCTCGTCATGCGGCCGGCGCACTCCGGGTGAAAATGTTAAAACGGTCGGTGCTTTGTTGTTGCCGGCCCACCCTGCCGTCCGTTTTCCGTCTCTCGAGCAGAAGTGTGCCGCCACGCTCAAGAGAATGAACCTCCCGTCGAAGATGACCATCTAAACGCCGGGATGGAAAATAAGATAGAGAAGCTTGTTCGGAGGCGAAAAAAATGTTCATCATGGAAACAAAAATACTGGCAATAGGAAGAAATTAGGCAGGTTTTTCTTGAAAAGACCGCCTACCGAGTAGAAGACGGTGCACGCGAGTGTTTTCTGTTTTGCGGGTGAGTGTGAGTGTCGAACGATTGGCCAATGAGGATCGACTCTCCTGTGCGATGGGCAAGGCACGGCGGACAGGGAAATTTGTCGGTCAAGGTGCTCAATTGGGGGTGAAAGTCGAGAAGAGGGTGAGTTGGGAACCCTGTTCAGCCGTTCACCAATCTGGAAGTTCTCACTTGGTACTGCTGCATCGATCGGTACACCCAAGTTGTTCTGGTGCAAGGCGGCGATTTCTGTGCTGCTGGCTCTTCTGACCTTGTCTCGTAGACCCTGCAAATCGGTGAATGTGGTGCTGGTTCTTCTGACGTAGACCCTTGAGTCCGGCTGAAGATTTCATGTCCCGCTGTTGGTAGTGGTGTTGACGCTAGGGAAGCGCCTTGAAGTTTGCTTAGTGCGGAAGGAGGCGTGTCATGTTCCAATTCTCTCAGAACTTTCGTGACCACTTGTTAACGTGGGGGGGGGGGTCAGTTTCGTCCGCTTCTTGGAGGTCGTGTACGGATGGAAGGGTTGGCCTGTTTCTGAGGGTGCGCTGCACGATTTGCGTTTATGTTGCCCCGAGCTTAAACCAAGGGGAATTGCGCGACAGGTGCTCGGGTGGAGTTGTTGTTTCGGCGTGAAGGGAGGCCACGTGGTGTGCGATTAGACCATTTGTTGGAAGGAGGGAGGTGTTGACCTGTATGTACACTGCTACTGTTGTGGAACCGTGAGAAATATTTTCAACGAAAGCCGTCGGCGACGTGTGCTTGCTCTTTGCCTTGTTGTGCTGGATGCAGCCGTTAGTCCTGCACCATGTGTTTGTTTTTCGAAAACGAAACGGTGACGACGCCAATCGAGATGAAGACCACAAGTACGGGGCGTGAACGGAGGTGTTCAGCAATAACGGAGGAAGCTACACCACGCACCCTTGCAGGAAGCACCGACTCTCGGCGTTGCTGTCATCTTGACGGACCAAAGGGTATCAGAAAGCGCTTTCCACTAGCTAAGCGAAGAGAGACCCAACCCTTGCTCCGTTTTTGAAGGTGTCTCACCAATTCGTGGATCGCAGTATAAAGTCTGGGGCTTTGCTTCAGAGCAAGGAAACGGGACCTGCTGGCCCACATCCACTCGCTTCACTCAACTGTCTGCCTGCCGCGTGCGCGTGCTGCGCTTGCGTACGAAACAACAAGAGCGCGTCAATAAGGCTTCACTGCCGAAACGACTGCTGTAGCAGACACATTCCGTTCAATCCCGTCACGGGAGAGGGGAGTCCTTGGGTGTCCTGCGCCCATTCGTCTTGTGCATAGAAGAAACAACAGGGCGGGTAGCGCTGGCTAGAAGCTGAAACGCGCCTTGAATGTCTTCGTTCCACCATCTAGAAGAAATTAAGAGAGTTGAAATATGAACGTATGTCCTCGAGGTTCTACTTCAGTTGAAGAGATTTGGAAGTTCGCGTTCTCTCTTGGTCCCTGTACTGAAGTCTACCGGTACTCGATACCAAGACAGCCACGTTCGACTCAAAACCGAAACAATGCCCCCGCCCCCCGTTGACCCTTCAACCCCGTCACGGGAACGTGCACGATTGACCCAGACGATCAAGTCTGCTCCTACCAACAGCTACAAATCTTCGACCAAAGATACATACGACTTGGAAGTTATTTGATGGGCCAGACGATGCCAAGCTCGACGGCCCCAGAGGTTGGCCTCGGAAAAGATTTCTGCGCCTCGTTCACATCGCTCCAACTCCTACCCTACCCTACTACTGTGCACCACTGTAGACAAGTTATTATTCCGGAATTTGTAAGCATACTTCCTTAGTTCCCTCCACAGTTCCCCTCACCATTCAGGCGGACATGGACATGCTAATCGTTTGAGCATGTACCGAAGAACACTCTGGCATACGGTTGCCATTCGTTCAACTCCCTCACGCAACCTCAACACGCCAACAAGAGATGTTCCATCTGGTGATCCGTCCACCCTTCTCAGCTTCGGCAACACTTCCAAGCCAACTGACACTCCTGACGCGGATATTTTTTCGGTTCCCGAGCCAGGCGATATGTAGGCCACTACTGTAAATACTGCCCCCCCCCCTAATGTGCCGTCCTCTCGAGGACGCGTGGTCAACATCCTACCCGCTGAGGAATGCCAAACATAAGAGTACCCCCCCTTCTGGGTTTGATTTGGCCCCATACCTCACCCAAAACTCCCACCTAGGACAAGAATAGATTCCCCTTCCGAAAATATGACACAGCGTAACCCCTTGACCACCCCCGAACATATAGAGGCAAGTCCTGACTAGCATCCCATCTAAGACAGCTTGACACTTAACACTTGTTTCCTCGTTGAGAAAAATCACTTCAATCTGTGATGTACGTCAGAACAAACCGCTCGTGCCCTCGACATGCCGCTGTACAAACGTCGTCTACATCAACACGTCCATGTTCTTTGTGCCATCCAGACCGACCCAACTCTAGCAACATTGACACAGCCTGCTGTAAACCGCTCCGACAATGTACTACTACACGGCCAATCCTCAGTTGGACCGCCGTCTCCTCGAACAAGTCTCCACTCACATCTCACATCGCCTTCGCAATCATGGCCCTAGGATAGCTATCTACCATGTCATCAAGACTTGCCTTTGCTCTTGGAGCGCCTGCGTATCGGTCCGACAACACAGGGAAGGGGGGGGAGGGGGAGGGGGGGTCAGTACCCTTTGCAGGGTTTTTGTTATAAG